CAGACAAACCTCGTGTTTGTCATTCTCACTGCTGCTCCTTGAGGTTTTTGAGACTCTATATTCTCTATTCATTTATTCCCACTCTCAGAGCATTTTTATGTTTGTATTTGTGTGGATGATATCCAGCGTGACACCAGAAGTGGCCAACGTGGAAATACAAACCCAGGACACATCGTTTCCACTACAACCACAAACACATTCTTGTTTATTTCCAACTTGGAAACATCTGGCAACATCGCTGTAATAAGTTCTCATCAATTCTGATGCACACACAGCTTTCCTTTGCAATGGGGGACACTTTGTTATGCAAAGTGCTAAATACTACAATACCCATGAGCCTCAGCTGTAGCAAAACATGGCGCAACAGATGCAAAATGTATCAACAAAGTTGACCCAAAATTAAAAGGTGAATTTATTGAAGCTGCAGATTATATTGTCAGTTTTCACAGAATCTTAACAAATTAGCAGTGCACGTATACGGTAATCCAGTCTTTGGGATTGGTGACTGGATGTATGTTACAGAAATGCACCATGGGAATCGTAGTTCATTTCTTATCTTATCTCCTCTTTTGGTATGTCGTTTCAATCAGGCATGTTTCAGACCCAAGCTGTAGCAGAGCAGTAAGTCACGTAACATTAACTTTTACTTCCGAAACCAGGAGATGCCAAAAATAGCTCCTCCTATTCTACGACATTGTCATGTCAGGTACACTCAATGAAGCGGTTCAGAGAACCCGGCACGCTTTCAACCTGTCGGATCTTTATCATCGCTGTATTCAAAGATCTCAGCCGTTATCCTTGTCAGTACGACGGTATTACAACTGATATAATGGCCGGAGTTAGGAAAATAACACCGAAGCTGTAATAAACCTGACTTACATCATTTCATATAATGCAATGGTTTCAATAGGATATGGTGCAGTATTTCAAGATAAAACTGCACCTTTTAAAGAAAAGACATTACAACAAAACCCCACTCCATAGCTAAATGATCACTTTAGGGACATTAAGAGAGAGCAGAAAAGAATTTGGGAATCTTGCAATCTTGTGTAAAACATGCAGAGAATACATATCCTTCACAGCTGATTGCCTCTGAAAGCCACAATCCAGCCAGGATTGTATTTCAGACCATTGACTCAGTAATCGGTCCTCTTCCTACCCATTTTCCCTGAAGTCATCACAGCAAAATGTGAGGAGTTCTTCAATCACTTTATCAATAAATCAGGCTACAAATTGCCCCCCCCCCCCCATCATGTGAATGTGAAATCTACACCAATCGGTCTGTCAACCCTGAAAAAAAACAAACAAGCCTCCATGATATCCTCTTCCCTCTCTCTAGATTTCTTAGGTTTGAAAAATCTAATTCTAAGCACGCAACTGTCCCAAAAAAAAGTCCACCATTCTTTTCAAATGTATTTATAATCAAAACAGTTATTCCATGAACAATTGTCATCATTTCTCACCGCTACAGATCTTAGAAAGTAGTGCAGGCCTGTATTTTTAAGCGGGCCATTTGTTCGCCTCCAGCTCATCCAAAAATGGCTTTTAAAATAGTTTACTTTCTCCCATTCTTTCATGTTTACATCGGCTCCCTGTGGGTCTTAGAATTGACTTCAAGAATTGGCTTGACAATTTTAAGGATTTTCAAGGCACGGTCAGGCCCCTAGTTATTGTTGATATGTAAATCCTTTATGAGCCACTGAGACCCTCAGGCCACAGTCTCCCATTTGTTCCACCCACTAGCTTTATTACCAGAGGTGACCGGGCCTTTCTAAGTCCGTGACCCTCACCTTTGGAACTCCCTGCCTCAGTATTTCAGACTAGGCAACTCTGTAGCATCTAATAACTCACTTTTATCAGATAGCCTTTTTGTTAATGTAGCTGTCTGTGTCTGAATTCTCTTTTGGTCGTATTTTTCTTTGCTCTTCATTGTGTTGCTGATGTGTTCTGTGTTAAACTATGAAATTCTTCTTGTAATCTGATTAATTTTGCATTTTTACTGTTTACTCTGTAGTTTTTTTTACCGTTATCTCTGTTTAGACAAATGCTACATAAATATCATTATTATTACTAGCAATAATTACTAATTCGGTAAAACAGCTCTGCGGTATGTACTCTTATAATGATTCATTTTTGATTGGGATCATTTCAAAGAAGTGTTGATGTGACTTCATGTTCAGTTTGCAGGCTGCAGTTGAATTGCATTCTGTTCTAAGGTGTTACTGTTATTTTGTCCACCCCGCTGTATATTCCCACCGGGGCTGTCAATGTACAAGCCCCTCCAAACCCTTTCCCTCTCCTCCTCGTTAAACTAGCATCTGCTGAGGTAAGAGGCCTGAAACCCCCAACACACACACACACACACACACACACACACACACACACACACACACCCCCCCCCCACCTCCTTTACACTTCATTCTCTGGAGCCTGCCATCTGCCACAGAGTTGGACAAGACCCCACTAACACGGCAGCCACACACACACACACACACACACACACACACACACAAGCTTACACCCTCATTTCAAACCCTTGCAATTGCTGGAAAACATCTCCAGTACAGATGCACATGAATGCACACAAACATACAAACAAACAAACACACGCACACACACACACACATGTACACACACACACACACACACAACTCGAAGTTGGCCAGGCTGCAAATTTAATGAGAAGCCCCCCCCCCCATGAACATAACAGCTTGCAGGGTCATAATGGTTTGGACCAGAGCCCCACCCCGCTGCACAGAGAGAGTGAACTCCTCCCCTCCACCGTGCGACTGGCCCGGAGAGGAGGAGACAGGGAGGACAGAGAGGGGGTGGACAGAGGGAGAACAACAAACTCTAATTACTCCTCTGTGGCTAACGGGCCCTTCCAGCATTTCTTTTTTTTTTGTTTCAGTGGTAAAGAGAGAGAGAGAGAAGGAGGGGAGCAGAGAGGAAGAGGGAAGACAGCGCGAACAGAAAAGAGACCTGTGCTGATTGAACATGAAACCTCTCCCCTCTGTCTCCTCTCTTCTCTCTCCCCCTCTGCTTGTTGTACATGATGCCCCCTCACTTTCACTGCAATTGTTCATCACCCCTCAGTTATCCACGATGAATAATGATGTCTCCTCTTGGAGAGCAGGAGGCAGAGGAGCGAGCCTGAGGCCATGCATTCTGATGGTCTAAGCATTCCCCAGTTACTCTCCGCTCATGCAAAATCAACAGTGCTACCGGGAGGGAGGGGGGGGGGGGGGGATGCCCGAGCATCCTCCTGCGTTCACATTCTCTGGGTGTTTGTTGTGTTTTACTCAATATTTACAATCCGTATCATCCAAAAGAACCTCTGCATTTCACCCTCCTGCAAATATTCACACAGAGGCATGGGGCCAGAGAGGAATGGTGGACGACGGGAGCTGTCTCCTTTGACAGGCAGACCCGGGGCGAATTAGGGACATTATGTCTGCTCTCTGGGGACGTCCGGTCTCACCCGGCCCCTGCCACGTTGCCATCGGCGTCACGGTGGAGGAGCAAAGCCACTTGAGGAGAGCTTCCTTCCTACAGATGCTAAAGCTGAAGAGACAGCTGGGCCCCGCTCCAGAGTCTCCGGCTATTTACAAAAAAAAAAGGCTGCTCACTTCATGGCAGCAAGCCACATTAAAGGTTTATTTACTCTTTTTTTGCCGGTTTCCCCAAATACATTTGAATCTATCGTCTGTTGACTGACAGAAAAATTAGGGCCGCGTTGGTTAGATCGCTAAACAGGAGGAGAAAAAAAGGCATATTTGGCCATATTCTTCCAATAAAGCGTTGTTTTCTCGTCATATCCCACAAGCTAATAAAATCTTTTATAACAAGGCCATGTGCAGCGTTACGGTCCTGCTGTATTAGAGCCCATTAAAGGCACATTATCTGGTTCAGTGTGTTGCGCTGCCTGTGCCGATGTAGGATGAAATGGGCCATTCTAATCCTCATTAACATAGCTAATTTCACATCAGAGAAAGTTGATAGTGGGTGTCAAAACCATTCAAAGGTCACCCAAGCGATTTGATATGCAAGTACGCGCCCGTGCGGTTGTGCCAATGTTCTACCTGTTTGAACATCCGTCGCGTGTGCTGTTACACGCCTTTCTCAGAGGCAAAGCGGTGTCATTGCCGCCGTTGTGCGGTGTTTGACAAACAGGCACGGCAGGCCAAGCGGTGCATGACACAAATGGACAAAGTTGTCAGAGCCAGGAGACGATGGTTGATACGCACACGGGAGAGAGGATGGGATCAAAAACAAGAAGGGACAAGGAGGAGAAAAGAGCAACAGATATCCATCCTCCTCCCCTCTAAGTGCGACAGCCGACCTTTATTCGGAGGGATGAAAGTGGGGGAACAAACACGTGACGTGTTCAACAGACACTGGCGCAAAGCCATGACACGAGGGCAAAGAGGGTGACAAGTGTGACATTACCGGCATGAAGACGAAGCTGCCATGTGACCTCTGATAGGGGAAAGTGTCACACTCTTCGTGCCAGCTGTGTTTGGCCGTATGTCATACGCATCCCAATGCATAACGTAAATTTCACAGAAATGCTGTTAAAACAACGGCTATGTGCCACCTAGACATCTAAAATGATTACTTTAAAACCCAACAACCAGATGTCTTTTGACTTATAAATCATCAAAAGCATGGACTTTGGGGCTAGACTGACTTTGCAAGATTTCAAGGATGCCTACTCTATTTGACAAGAAGGATGAGTTTAGTGTTTCTGGCATCAATACAATTTAGAAAAATGCACAAACATCAGAGTCCTTCTTGACAATAACTCCGCAACCACTTGCCGATGTTTCGTATAGACAAGCATGTGTTGCAACGGAGAGTTACTCGCTCAAAAAACAAACGCTCGGTAACCTTTGACAACTCTTTGAAGCGGCTGAACGTCAATCACATTTCATATGGGGGAGAAAAAACACAAGATGTGTTTGTTCTGTTACTGCGATCAGAGAGAGATGAGAACTCACTTGGTCACTCTCCTGTGGGCGGTGATGCTTGCCACGATGACGCTCTCTGGTCTCGGGGTGGCCACAGCCTTGAAAGTCCCCTTCCAAAACTTCTCAAAGAGCTGCTTCTCCTTCAGCCGCTGGAAGCCACCGGTGATGCGCAGCAATCCCAGGGATGGTGGTGGGGGGCCACAGGGGACCGGCTGGAGCGAGCACTGGGGCTCCATCTGTGGTTCTTGGTCTCCAAAAAAACCCCCGAAAAACAATAAAAGAGTCTACACGCTCATGGAGAAAACACACACACTCGTTGTCGCTCAGGAGCTGTCCAAGTACTGAATCAAAACCGTGCAATGCGTTGCGACCGTCCTCTCCTCTCACAGCATCGGGTCAATGTGTCAGCGCGTCTGTCCGCTCTCCGGCGGGAGCGTGGGGAGAGGGACAAAAGCTGACCCTCTCCAACTGGAGGCTGGGTATTGTTCTCCCAGATGGGGGGGGGGGGAGATTGAGTTTCTTTCTCTCCGCCTCTCCTCTTCAGTCACATCTGCTGCTTTTCTGGGGACGGGGTCGGGGTTGGGGAGTCGGAGCGTCTCCTTTTTTATTCTCGCTCCCGGTCGGCAGCCTTACACAGAATCAGGCATCAATCAGTCCAGAGGAGTGAGAGACAGAGAGAGGCAAAGTGTGGCTTTTCTTTTTTTCTTGAGTGCAATGTTTGAGACGCATGCCCGCTGAGCAGGTGTCGAGGCAAGTGTCGCGGCGTGTCTGAGGGCAGGCGTGAACGAGCGTTGGAGAGCGCGTGTGTGTGTGTGTGTGTGTGAGTGTGAGTGGAAACCGAGTGAGGAGCTCAGCTGAGAGCGGCTTGTTTTGTGTCTCTCAGCTTGTGACGTCAACGTTGGGGGCTGGACGCTGGGGAGAGGGACACCTCCTGTCATCCTCTCTCTCTCTCTCTCTCTCTCTCTCTCTCTCTCTCTCTCTCTCTCTGTGCTACACTTTAATCACTCTACTCTTGATTAGGTTCCATTCTCCTCCTGACGTGTGCTCAGAAGCTTCAAATATCTTCCGTTCCAGCTTTTCCAATGTTAGAATTTGCAGCTTTCCTCTCTTTGTTTTTTTAAATCATTGTTGATTGAATATCCTTGTTAGTCAGACCAAATAAGACATGAGTAGATGTGACCTTCGGCTCATGATAACTGTGACGTGTTTTTACTATTTTCTGATATTCAAAAGCCAAACAATAAATCCTTTTGTAAAACGAATTGTTAGGTGTTGCTCAATTAATTATTTAATTTTTGTCCATTTATATTTTTTCCAAACATTCCAGTGAACCTTTGTGTAGTTTGTAATGTTGCTGTTCTTTACTGATTTGCCACGTATGTCCTTGTTTATATTATATAGAACCTATACTGCCACCACCACGACTAACTATTGCTGCTGATCAAGTTAAACTTTGAACTGGGACAGTTCAACATAATCCTCCTCATACAGCTGCATGTGATGACAACACGTCTTTACCCACAGCTGCAAACATATGGAATACTGGATGATAACTTTTAGAAAGAGTTCATCAAATAATAGAAAGTTCTGAGAAAACTACAAATCATTGTGTTGAAAAAGAGGTGGATCAACAACATCTTCACCCAGTCTCATCCATAATTGAACATTTTCATTGATTTATGGTGAGACATTGTATGCCATCCCATGAGTCAGGGATTATTGATATGTCTACTCTACACATAGTCTGCAATATGCTGTAACTGTGTCTTTTCTTGTCCTCTTCCCTCACACACACACACACGCACACACACACACACACACACACACACACACACACACGCACACACACTCCATCAGTGTCTTGGACAAAAGGCTGAGTGAATCAGCATAACAAAAGGCCCGGCTCAGTGAGGACCAGCCAGAGCATGCGGCTGACACAAACCTCCCCCTGGGGGGGTTTCAGCCTCTCCCTGCTGTCGGATACCTCCTCCTTTCCTCTTCAGTCTGCTTCTACACGACACATAACACGGAGCAACAGCTCAACAACCTACCCCCCCCCCAAAGCCCCCCTCCCTCCCTCTCCTTTTCTCTTTTGTCGCACTGACTCTAATGCTGCGAATCATCTGCTTCCATTGCTGCAACACGTGGGACTCTGCCTTGAAATCTTGGGAGGGATTATCGACTACTACAGGGATGCCACCCTGTTCAGCCTGTGCAACACTTTAAAGGACAAATACTATTTAAAGACGTTTGGAGACAGCAAAGCATAGCTGATTATTGGACAGCCTTAATGTAGAACAAGTTCACCTTTGTTACCATAACATGACTTCTGCATAAGCAGAGGTGTTACACTCTCAAGCAAGTTGTGGTTGCTTTCCAAAAAAACCAAATCTGTAATATTTTTTAAATACTTTGCCTCTACTAAAAAACCTTTTACACCACTATGTGGTGGTGTTACACCACCGCTATTTGCATTTTGCATTCTTTTTTGACATTTTAAAAAGTCAACATTTAAATGGTTTAATGAAAAAGGGTCGAAAGATGAATCATTAATGAAAATAATCATTAGTTGCAGCCCTACTATGGATCACTAAGTGCATAAAATATGTTCCAAATGTTGCTGTACTGTTAGCTCCGTTATTTAGCCAAGCAGGACTGTGCTGCCAAACGGATGCCAACAGCTCACGATAACTAGCTCTCCTCTTGCCAATTCCAACAATTGTGTTGTTCACAATGTGGCATTATTGGGCATCGGCAACTAGAAAGCATTAATGGTAATCTCATAAACATCACATTTATTTTTTTACTCCCCCGATCGGACAACTGCATGAAGAATTCCACTTGTCAAGCATTAATGTCAAGCCCTGAAGCTACTTTTTTTATTTTTTATGATGGAATGCAATTTTTTTCTTCCTCACTGAATGCTGATGGTAAACACATCTGCTCTGGGTGACTTAGACCAGGCATTTCTAAATATGGGGATCAGTGCACTGCATTGTTTCTACACAGGATGAACCAGGACCATCATACCACAACATTCCCTGGCTCTGTGTGTGTGTGTGTGTGTGTGTGTGAACAAGGTGTCGTAAACAAAAGTTTCCACACACGGTCATGACAACATTGTCTTGTGAACTTCTCTTTCCCCTGATGAGGAGTTGTGGGCGTGAGCAGGAATTAATATGTATGCATAAAGACCTAGCGCCGTACCTCTGGATTAATAATGCATATATTAGCTGATAACATGAAACCTTGATGTATAACAACGGCAGCCACATAATGATAAGTGGCTGCTTCATCAGTGTGCTTTGCATAAAGATAAGGCGGAGGCACTCTCAAATCAAACCAGAGGGCAGAGACAAGCAGACCCTGCACAACACGGAGTATGTTTCATTTATGGGGGAGAATATCAAACAGCCGTTTCTGCAGTGAGATGAAGTCCAGGTTATATTGGAGGACTGTGCCGAGGGCAACGGGGTGGTCTTCCTCCTGCTGAGTGTTTTTTATGAAGTGCTTTTGTTAGCAGTGGTTTTATATGGAAAGTTGAGCTGAAGGACACAAAGCTGTTGTGGAAAAAGTCGTTTACCTGCGGAGGGACAATCATTTCATGCTTCAGCCTTGGTGTGTTCACAGAGAGAACGGCACCCAGTGACAGCGACTTAACGTGGCATCACAAAGACACACAATTAATACTATTCATCATAATCGGTACTATGTACGTTATGTCACATGAATATCTAAAAACAAAGCAAGGACTCGCTGTCTGTGTGTTGTTTGCTATCTCGAGAATCGCTCATCCGATCTACTTCACACTCGCTGAATGTTTTGCTGGGGGACCCATTGGAGGGCTTCATCGAATTTGGACACACAACACTTTCAATATTACCAAACTATCAATTAATTATCAAACAGCGCTCTGTGTAGCAGTGGAGGCGGAGCTTAAAGGCTCTGCAGGCTTGAGCATGTCATTGTTGCCTGACGACATAATTTACACCTAACATTAACCATTTGCGGTCAATGTCTAACCTTCATGCCTAATCTTTATTATACAAGGTCAATCCCTACAGTTTGGCGAGCTAGCCAAGGTTGCTAGATAACATTAGCCTGTGATAACAGTTGAAGCATGAGGGCAAAGAACACTGATCTCAGACCTGCTATTTTCCTTTAGTGATTTCACGTTTTGATCAACAAATAGAGCTTTTCAACCATCATCTCTTTTCCAACCGAGTCGCAGCGATTGCAATACAGCTGTAATGTTCTTGGTTGTGTGAAACACAGCTAGGCATGAAGTGCATCTATTCAAAGTAAATCACAAATGAGTTGATTTTTAAAGGAGCAGAGGGAACCTATGAAACGTTATTGGCCGGGCTCAATGGCTTTGCACTGTCAGAACTCATGCTGACAGTAATTGCAGCTGTTAGCGCGGATGGATTCGTCCGTATAGAATGTTTTTTTTGAGGTTGCAAATAAATTCAACAAGAAAGGGAAAAGGCAAATTGTTCAGGGACGAAATGTTCCTTTCTCTGTATCAATCAGAGTTCAAGTCTATGAGTTTCTTTTTGTGCAACTTCTGCCACTGATGCATCATTTGAAATATTTTCGTTATTGAGAAACTCGCACAAAAAAGATCTGTATTGCCTCCGCCCTTCCTTCAAAACCCTGCACATAATTTTCTTTTCATAGCATTGTTCATCTCTTTTTAATTTTTCACTTTCAGCATGCACACCTCCGTACAACTTCAAGAGAAATCTACCTCCGGTATCATCTGAGGATCAGCTGTCACCACAGCATTCAGGACAGCCTGGCTTCCTTTTAAAAAAAGTTTTGAAGAGATGTGACAGTAACGTTTCTTGGCTCTACTTTTGCCTGTGGTGTTACTGTATGTTCAATTATAATTTAAGAATGTAGTCGTATAGTTCAGCTAATGAGCCCTGAAAACCAAAAGAAATGTGAAACTAACAGAAATGAGCCGTCATTTCTGGTTTCTAAACATTTGTGATTCGTGTGGTTGTTAAAATGATTCATCAAGTGCCTCTGTGCATTTTTTTTTCCAATCGTTTGAGTGAAGCAGCTGAAAATCTTCCCAATTTGGAGTGCTGCCTTAGGAATTCAAATATAAATACATCAGCTGTCCCTTGCATTGCTTTGGTCTCATCGTTCTCTGAGGCAAGAAGATGAAGTAGATGTCAAAACGGGGAATCTTAGATCAGGTTGAAGTAAGTTGCTGGATCTTGAAAAGGCCCATGCTTGCACCAAATAGATAAATGAACTCCGGATCAGGAGGCGAGAAGGAAAAAGAAAGAAATGTAAAGAAATATTATATTCAGTGTATTCAATCGGTTTTGGTGATGTCAATATTCAACAGCGGATGCAAGTTTACAGACTGAATGGCTCCAATGTAAGTCTGCACATTTAAGAATTAAACAGTGCAAGTATTTAGTACGTGGCTTATTAAAAATAGCTAATATGCAGTTACAATGCATTCATATGCTAAACTAACTCAAAAAGTCTCTGACTCAAAATAATGTGATAACAAACTCACAGATGTTTACAGAGTCTACATGGTCACGAACCTTTGACCCAACAAAAATGTACTTCTACACCATGAACATGTCAACGTATTTTCAGAGTGACTGTGAATTGGTATGTAGGATTGATAAAAAATAAATACTCCACAGGCCACAATGATCAACAACGGAACATCTATTTTTTTTTCTTGTATTCTTTAAAAAATGTAATCAATTTCTTGTGCTGTTGTTAACGTGCCAGACAGAAGTGTTGTTTGTAAAATGGTTTAAATCAATGAAAAGTTTTTCCCGTGACCCATTTCTCT